AGCGCCCCGCCGGAGGGTCCGTGCCTGCCGGCGTCGGGACGCGCTCCCTCCCCCTGCGCAGCCCCCCGTGACGCAGCTAGAAGTGTTCAGGGCCCAGGCCGTTAACGGGGCGGCGGGGGGGTGGCGCTACAGCGTCTGGCGCTTCCTTGCGCTTCCTAGGCTGCGAGCGCAGTCCCGTCCCGTCCCCCGTCCCCCTGGGGCTTTGAGCTCTCCGGCTGTTCTTCCGAAGGAGCTGCCTCCTGGGCACTTGGTTGCCATCGCTGGTTCTGAAATTGCGGCCGTTTCTGAATTTAGGCCTTAAAAGCACCTGGTAAGCTGCTTGGAGCAGCCGGGTGAAGATGGGAAAGGCTGCGCTTCTTCGGAAGCGTGAGTTAGATGCTGTACCGTAGTGGAAAAATTATTTCCACCACGAAGTCATACTTCGGGGCCATCCGTTTTGAGGAAAGCTGTTCTGGGGTCTCTGTGTAGCGGTCCACTTAATGAATGTGTTTCGGCCCTCGTTAGGAGACGTGAGCCTGCATACAGTGGAGTGTGGGCGTTTGTTGTTGGACTGAAATAGGCCACTGTTTTAGAAAAGGAGTCGCCAAATTATCTTCTATGCTTTATTGAAAAGTAGGTGCCCTGCTTCCTGGCGATGGTGTAAAGAAGGCTGGGATGTGCTGGAGACTAAGTGAGCTTTATAGCAGTCGCTTGCAGTCCTACAGACTGCGTAGATATTTGTGAAGTGGAGATACGGAATGCAGTTACAGCTGAAGAATGCTAGCGTTAGTAAAGCTTGAGGCATAGCGGATATTCTTGGCAGCCTTGAAAATCCACAACTGCTGTGAAAATTTGCTCTTTAAAAACACCTTGATTTTTTGAGGGCATCCATTTGAAAGCATTTCAGATTAAATAATGAATTTGCTAATTTCTGGGGCTCTGACAGCTCGTGTTTCTAAACATAAAGTGATTTGTAGGTTACTTTATATGGGGAGGGGAAAAGGGAGATTACAGGCTTAAAAACAGTAACACTTTGCGGTTGAATCAATAAAGATAGCTAAGAAAGACTCAAACACGAAGAGTAAAGTTTTATCTTAATTTGATCTTATTATAATGAGAGTACTTTGAAATTCCACATATTTTATCGTGCTATCTTTATTAAATAACTAGTCAAATTTGAAGTCTATATGTTGTCTAGGGCAAAGGTGTGTTATTTTTTTAGAATGCTAGTATTATGATTGAAAGTTGTGACTGTAACCACGAGTGAGTGAAATTCAACACTGAAAATAGTTGGTGGTGGTTTTTGGTGTTTTGTTTTTTTTTTCCCCTCTATAGAGTTCCATTCTGATCAATGGACAAGGGGACTAACCTGTCAAAAATGGCTGATATAACCAAGATAGAAGAACAGGAAGCAGAGAAGAGTTTGGATGAAGAAGTGGAGAAAACACCTCGTACTTTAGAGGCAGATTCAGGTATTGGTTGGGAAGGTGATAGTTCAACTTCAGGTACAGTGCTCTCCACCGAAAATGAAAAAGAAGTTGGTAGTGTTAATCAGGACGGCAGAGCACGAAGGAAGAACTTAGATTCTGAAGATGAACCTCCTAAGAAAGTAGTGAGTATCATTTATTTTAAGCTATGTTCAAATCCTTGTTTCAAAGCCTTAGATTAAGAAAAGATTGAAAATATTTATGCTAAATGTATGTGAACCAGCATGAAACACCAAATGTCCAAGTTTGTGGGTTTAGTGCACAGTGCAGAAGTTACGTTGGGTTTAACGGAAGAGAAAGAGGGCTAGTAATTAGAATGTTAAGAAAACTGATCTCAGCACATGCTTAGTCTAATTCTAAGATTATCGTTCCATCATCTATGTGGTAGCAATCTGGTAGTGTAGTGTAGGGTTTACTGGCATTAGTCCAAGTCCCGTATCTTGAATTGATATATTTTGTATGTTGTTATCCCGTGTGTTAGTATTTGTGCATGGGAGGTTCTTCTATAAGATAATTTTGTCCTTTAACTTCCTCAATAAGGTATTGTATAATTTGAAAATTCTACAAACTGCATCCTCTGTGATATAATTTCAGTATGATTTGTTAGCAAAGTGAAGTACTGAAAGGTTTACGGACATGGTGGTTTTTTTTTGTGTAAGACTGCAAGAGTAGCACAGACATGTTTTGTTTTGTTTTGTTTTTTTTTTAAGACTGCGAGAGTAGCAGAAAATGTTTGTCCTTTTAACTGGGAGGGTGAAAAGGGTAATGTTTTATATGATGCTGTCCTTTATTACGTATGAGCTTGTAGAAACTGGTGCTGTAATATCCAGTCTAATTTTGACCTTTTGGGATATTTAAGTATAATTTAAAAATGTCTTTGACGTAATGTTTTGTTTTTGTGTTCAGAATTTTTCCAGGATGTTAATTTATGGCTAAGCAGTCTGGTAAAATAAAGGGTGCCCTTTGTTGTGGTAGAAACATTATTAACCCTTTCATCTTTTTAATAAGGTAGTTCTGGTATAAGGTTTAGGTGGACAAGAAATACATTGGTTTTGTGTAGCTTAAGGCTGTAGAGAGGTGATTGCATTGAACGCAGCTGCCAGCTTCTAGCTGTTATCACTGATGGCTGTTTGCAACTGTGCTTGCAGCAGCTGAGCTGTATTAATGGGTTGTATGAATATGTCCTTCACACTTGCTAAAGTCAGCCATTCTAGCTTACATCACCTTCAGTGGCCACTGAGGGAGCCATCTGTGCTTACCCTAAAAGGGACTAGAAATGGTCAAAATATTTGTCAGTATCAGTCATCTGAGTGTGGTAATAAACAGATGATGGGGTCATAGAGTTTCCAGACAAGTATGTCTGTGTTCATTCTGAAGGTTACCAAAATTATATGAAACACTGAAGAATTCATGTAATATATGAAAGTCAGTCAAACCTTCTTTTCCCTTGAGGAACTGCTGTTTGAATAATAAGATACCGGGATGTTGACTTCTGTAGTCAACTGTTGGGAATGCTTTTAATTGCTGTGTGAATTCATACTGGCGGGGGCTTTATGGCATGTTTGTGGGTTTTAACTGAGAATCCTTCATTCTAGTTTGTACTGTTATTTCAAACACTTTTGTGCCTCACAGAATTTGTGTTGGTTATCCATGTTCTGTTACTTTGTATTTTATTTATAATTTATTTTAATTTCATGTATATAATTGAAGATTATTTTCAAGGTGAAGAAATGTTAGCATAATATCTGGGTGTAGACTGCTTCTCTGTGTCACATGGGACAGAAATTTCTTGGAGTATTTACAGTTAAGGCTAAACCAGACATTTTTACAGCTAACTGTTAAGCATTAAATGGGATGCATTGTCAAGTCATTACTCTCATTCCCTTACCATGGTCTGTTTAAAGCTCTGGCAGTGGGATCATCCACTTAGGGCTTTATGCGTGTTGTGGTTTAACCTCAGTCGGCAACTGAGCACCACACAGCTGCTCGCTCAC